CCCCGCTTTTTTCTGGGCTCCGGTCACATGAAGAATTCTTTTCCATCCTTTCATTTTCAGTCTATGGGCTTCTTTTTGCACTAGGTGTGTTTCTTTTTCTTTTTTTTTTTTTTTTTTGGTACCGGGGATTGAACTCAGGTCCTTGTGCTTGTGAGGCAGGCCACCGAACCTCTGAGCTAAATCCCTGGCCCCCTAGGTGTGTTTCTTGTATATAACATATTGTTGGATTTTGCTTCTTAATCCATTCTGCCAGTCTATTTCTCTTGATTGGTGAATTGAGGCCATTGACATTGATGGTTATCACTGATATGTACTGACTTATTACTGTCATGTTACTTTTGTTGACTCTTTTTAATTTTTTTGCCCTCTCCTTTTAGTTTCTTGCCTTGCCTATTTGATTTGCTGTGTTGGGCCTCATAGTGTTGTGACCTTCATTGTCTCTTTCTAGGATATTGTTTAGAATTCCTTGTAGTGCTGGTTTGGTGTTCCTGAAGTTTCTCGGGTGTTCTTTGTCATGAAAGTATCATATTTCCCCATCCATTTTGAAAGAGAGTTTTGCAGGATACATCAGTCTAGGTTGGAGGTTGTTTTCTTTTAGGACTTGAAATACCTCACTCCAGGCTCTCCTTGAGCTGAGGGTTTGTGTTGAAAAGTCTGCTGTGATTCTGATGGGCTTTCCTTTGCATGTGATTTGTTTCTTTTCTCTTACTGCTTGTAGTATTTTGTTCTTCTGTTGGGTTTCTGGGATCTTGATTATTAATGTCTAGGTGTAGATTTTTTTGATCATGGCTAGTTGGAGTCCTATATGCCTCAGTTATCTGTATGTCAAATTCTTCCCTCTGTTTGGGAAGTTTTCTGTCATTAATTCTGTGAACAGCTTTTTTAAGTCATTTGCATTTTCTCCTGCTACTTCATGGATTCCTATCAGTCTTATGTTATTCTTCTTTGCATCATCTAGGAGTTGTTGGGTAAAAATATGGAACGCTTAACGAATTTGTGTGTCATCCTTGCACAGGGGCCATGCTAATCTTCTCTGCATCGTTCCAATTTTAGTGTATGTGCTGCTGAAGCGAGCACTGATCTAGAGTTCTTATAAATGCTTAAGTACCATAGCAGCAATTTCTAATTATCTACATCAGGTGAAGTATGTAGAATTGTGGATGATCAAAAAAACTTGCTTGTGAAATATTTTAAAAGACTGAATATTACATGAATCAAATTTTAAAACTGCATCATGCTTTCTAGTTTCCAAAATTTGTCCAGCTTCATGGAAGATCATTTTCATTTGACACAGTACTTTGTTTTAAACAGAGCTGCCACTTCTCAAATTTTCTCTGGAACTAGATCATGGATAAGTGAATTGATCTGAAAGAGCTCTTCTGTTAGATGTGGAACGTGCAAAAGGTCACTAAGGAAAAATAATTAACATTAGTTGAACAAGAGAATGACATCTAAGAACCTCAGAGGATTGTAATGGTCTTAAATGAGTTAAAATATTTATAGCACATAGCCAGTGATTGGCACATAGAAAGTGCCAGTATGTTTTCACAATTAGCCTTATTGCAGAGGGCAGGGGTGGGTCACAGCCTGGCTGGTCTTTACGAGTACCTGCCAGGTGCCAGGCTTGAGTCTCTAGCCCATAGCCCCAGAGGAATCGAACACCTGTCTCCTTGCAACCTTGGAGTCTAAAGGATGACAGTCATTACAATTCTAACAGCATATGAGGTGGGAAATTTTCTAACTAAAATTGCAGCTGGAGAACCAAAGCTGGGAAAAGGAGTAATCACCATGTGTTCAACAAACTATAATACCACCTGTATGGGACTTAGGGCAATTCTGCAACCTCTAGTCGTTGACTCAATCCAGGCCACATAAGAAAAGTAAGAGTTATGCCGAAGAAGTATAGAAAAGGAGGTTTTTGTTTTTGTCTTGAAAAAAGCCATGCAGTGTCAGGTCTTTCCCATTCCCCAACTCCCCAGTGTGTCAGACTGCCCTCCTGTCCTCCTCCCTTCCTGCAAGTCCCTTCTAGATAGCAGTAGCTGTGTCAACTGTTCAAAAGCAGCCCCTTCTCATTCTTTGGTAATTTTAGCTATCAGAAACTTATGAAACTCATGTCTTCATTTTCTTCCCCTAGAAAACATACCAGAAGTCAAAAGAACAAATAGAGGCTGAATTAAAGATGGACTATGAGAGTTATTTGGAACTGGAAAAGACCATCCTTATCAATCTCGGCCTCACCAAAGTCCCAGAGATGGTGTCACACATGGAAACAATCTAGAGACGCTTTCTGAAGGGGTGTTTGGAGGACTCTATGGGCCTTCTCTCTCTGTATTCATTATTAGTTTGAACTAGCAAACTGAACTTATAGGGGTTAATTGTAAATATAGGCTTTTATTTCACTGCTATTAAAACATTTGAATTACAGCAACAAAATCCATTTCACGCTTTGTACTGAGCATGTATGGAATTTTGTTTTCAACAAGAAAACGTTCATTATCCTACAGTAGTTCAGAACTTCAGACACCCACTCCACCCCACCTCTTGCCATTCATGCGGTAGCCCTAATCCTAGACAGAAGTGGAAATTGAACTTTGCTCCTACCTGTCTGGTAGCTTGTTCATCTCTCCAAAAAGTGCTTCCCTTGCAGCATTACACAAATATAGGGCCAAAGGCTGAATGAAATCTTAGCAAATTGAATCTAGAAATACTTATATTTTAAAAAGAATGTCACATAGAGACTGAATTGGGTTTGCCCAGGAAATACAAGGTTAATTTAAAAGTAGAAAATTAATCAGTGATTGACTAGAGAAATTATGAAATCAATTGATTCCGAAAAAAATAATTGATGCAATTCAACCTCCACTCGTAGTAATAATAAATTCTTAGCAACTGCAGAAAGACATTTATCTGACAAACAGCATCTACAACAATCCAACAGCAAGCATCACACTTACAAGCTTTTCTCTGCTTTGTGGAATAAGACTTGGTGCCTACCGTCCTGTCTTCTCTTCCGTATTGCACACGGCGTCCTTATAAGGGGAGATGAGCGCCTTCATGAGCTGGTGCACAGATGTATTTTTGCCATCACTATTGGAATGTCCCTGGCCTCAGCCTCGCCCCGGGACTTCTTTTCCTCTGTATTTTGTTCTACAGTCATATCTCAGTTGACCTAATTGTCTCATGGCTTTAAATACTACCTCGATCCCTGGCATGGACTTCTCCCCAAATCTCAAGCTGCCAAAGTGGTGTACCTGGCTTTCCCCCAAAAATGCATTCTTTCTTCGTTGATGCTCCTGGCTGTATGCTTTCAGTTGCTAGGGGCAAAAACCTTGACATCATGCTTGGCCTTCTTTCTCTCTTAATCCACATGCAATTTGACAGCAAATCCTGTTGTCTATGTGCTGTGATAGTAAAAATATGGTGAATATTTAAAATCTTTAAAACGCATATGTTACAGTAAAAGGCGCTGTTGTCAGACTCCCTCAAAACACTCCCCTTGTCTTTGAACACACGTCCCCTTGTTCTTGCCACTTTCGGAAGCAGTTCTGGAAGCCCTCTTTTGTGAGCGTCCTTAGTGGCTCTGTCATGGCTGCCTCAGTGTCGTGAATCGATTGAAAATGTTTACCTTTTGTGGTCCTTTTGACTTTAGGAAAGAGCCAGAAGTTGCATGGTGCTAGACCCAATGAATAAGGTGGATGGGGACGCACTGTAATGTTTTTAACAGCCTGCCTTTCCTTTGTGTGGTACTAAGCAACAGCATTCACTACATTTTTGGATCACACTTCATACAGATATTTAAAGAGGATTTCCACACCTGCATCAGAACATTATTATACAGGGGTACCTCTGGTACAGTGGTATCATGCAAGATTCCCACAAAATGGAACTGGGAACTCAGAGGCACTGTACCACTGAGCTTTATTACCAGCCAGCCCTTCTTATTTTTTGAATTTTGAGACAGGTTATCAGTAAGTTGTCTGGGCTGACCTCCAATTTATGATTGTCCTGCCTCAGCCTGTCCAGTTGCTGGGAGTACAGTCATGCGCCACCATACCCGGCCAGCTTGTGCTTTTAAATGGCCGTCAGATGCTGTCATTCTTCTGCCAACAGCTCTTCCTCAGGGTAGGGGTCAAAGGCTTCCCTGTGCCCTGCCAGTCCTCAGGTGTTCAGGCTTCCCCCGGTCACCTAGCTGGTCATTTGTTCTCTCTGTTATACCCACCTCATTACATTGCCTTCCTCGCCACCAGCCAGCCCAGGTATGTTCTCTCCCAGGGGATTTATGCCTGCAGTTTGCACTTCTTTCAGGAATTTTCCCTGTTTCATTGTCACATGGTGACTCAAAGAAATGCAGAAAGTACCTACTATGTGTCAGGCTCTGCCATTTTAGCCTGGATGGCCAGGGAAGGTGACATTTAAGTGAATAATCTGAACTAAGGGATTCTATATGCAGTCTCCTAGAAATGTGTTCCATAATTCAGTACTGTACCTCTTAGTGTAAAAGCAGCTGGTACTGCAGAGAACGGACATAGTTTATACATTACCTAGGGCTGGCTATACTGTTGTCTCAAACAAAAGTGAGGTTTTATTAACATAGAAGGCAGGGGTAATGGATATGTCTCAGGTTTATCAAGAAAAGAGCTTAGTATAGTGGCTGAGATCTAGCAAGCAGTGTTTTGCTGGGGGAAGGTACTAGAGAATGAACCCAGGGCCTTCATACTGAGCTACATCCTCAGCCCTTTTAATTTATTTTTAATTTTTAAGTTTAGAGACATTGTCTTGATAAGTCACTAATTTGCCCAGGCTGGGCTCAAATTTGCAGTCTTCTTGCCTCAGCCTCCCAGCATGCTGGGACTATAGACATGGATCAGCATGCCTTGGATGAAGACTCTAAATATTATTTCATCACGCTTATAATTGTGGCAATTATCGTTTTAACATATTTTCATCGTGTGTAACCTGTTTTTCCAGGTCAACCTTCTACAAACTGTTTCCACACGTGTGCAGTCCTAGTTGGGGTAAAGATGGAGTGGCATATGTTCAAAAGAAGCTGACAACCACCAGGCACTTGAGGGTCCCTCTCTCAAATTGAGAGCGCAGCCTGAGTCAGCTGACATGGGGAGGTGATGGGGTGACACTTCTGCGTTAGTCCACGTCTATCAAGAAGCAACACCAAGCAGGTTTAGATGCACACAGGATTTACTGGGGGAGAAAGCAAGGGAAGCCTTCCGATCTCGGCGCAGATGTGTACCTATGGAAGGAGAGAGGAAAGGACAGAGAACCACATACAGGTGTGCCTCAGGCCACTCTGCAAAGGCGAATGCCGGCGGCAGTGTACTCCGCTTTGACAACCGGGACTTTGGACCTTGGGCAAGCTCCGGTGCTACCTCCTTCCCTGAGGAGAGTCCTCTCTGAGGCCCTTCCGCACCGCCAGGCTGATTCCTTTGCTCTGGGCCAGACCGAACATTTAGCAGGTAACAGACACACTGAGTCCTAGCAAAGAACACAGCCGAGGCTTAAACTAGGAAGTGAGGGGATCCCTCCTATCAGAAGCTATAAGGAATATGGGACAGATTAGGAGTATTAGGCATGAATGACAGTGGCGTTAGCCCAAGTTCCTCCTTCCAAATCCCACAGCTGCCTTGCTTTCCTTTGCTGCCCATTCCTTCCACTGTACGGTGGGTCAATTAAGCCTTCTTTTTCTGCCAAGTCCTTTAGTCTGGCCTAACGTGGGGTGGAAAGAAAGGGGCTTTAGGTCCTTGCAGATCTGAGGCAAAGCTCAGCTTCACTGCCTTGGGTGGTCCTCAGTCTCTGTTACTTTACCTGCAAAACAGGTCTCATGTGCCCACCTCATATAAAAGCAGCATAAGGCATTTGGCACGCAGTTGATACCTAACACATGCTGCCCCCACTTTTCTTGCTTGGTCTCGAGTTTCAGCTTTTACAAATGGCTTTTTACTCACCAAGAAAAGTGTAATTTAACCAGTGTAGTTTCAGGCCCTCAGATAAAGACATCCTGTGTTCGTTTGTGATGAAAAAGCAGTTAACTCCAGTAGTCGCTGGCCCACGTGCCCTTCCGCAGCTTACCCAACCACCACTGTAAATAACTCATGTCTCCCCTGCCCTTCTACCCCTTAGCACCCAGGGTAGGCAGCTTGCTACCTCGTTGCCAGGCTGCCACTGCCAGGCCAGAGCCTATGTAACTGAGCCAGGCCCCCAGCACGGAAACTAAATACCTCAGAGAAGGTCAGATTAGACCCTGTGTGATGAATTCCCCTATGGCTGAGGGTCACAAGTTTTCACAACCGCACCGCAACAGAACGACCTTGGAAGTTCATTGAGAAAAATGACGATTTTAAGAAGCTTTCAAATGCTTTTGTGTTAACAAATATGGCTTTAAAATATATACACAACAAATCGGGCAAATAGTGTAGGTCGTTTCCCTGCAACAACCCCAGTGAGCTAAACAGAAGAACAGAATGTAAGGTTTCTCTAACTTGTGGGAACATGTGACAATCTGGAATTTTTTTTTCCTTCAGTACTGGGCATTGAGCCAAGAGACTTTGAACTGAGCCACATGCCCAGTTCTTTTATTTTATTTTCCTTTGGAGACAGAGTTTTGATAAGTTGCTAAATTGTCCAGTCTGGGTTCAGACTTGCAATCCTCCCACCCTACCGGGTTTACCGGCATGTGTCACATCACCCAGCTTGTTGGTTCTCTCTTCTTAAAGAGGAAAAAGAAGAGAGGTATAAAGAGAAGATTTCACATTTTTCTCATCAACTAAAGACACATTTTCCTGTCTTTTTAGGAGTCATATTTTTAAGAACAATAATTTTCTTTGAGAAAACAAAACATCAAAGAAAACAATGCTGTTAAATCTAAAATACAGAAAATGCCTCCCTTATTTAAGCCTTAGTAAATAAACTAAACAAAATAATTAAAACATAGCAATTTGTCATTTTTAATGAATTTTGTAGACTCTGGATCTGTTATAATAAAAAAAGAGTAAACTCCCAGTTATCCAGATAAGAATGTAAAATTAGCAGTGAGCAAGTCTGAGGTAAGAAAATGGCTTATTCTGAGCCAACACGAGTGACCAGGCCTTGGGAAGTCACATGAACACTGTGAGCTCCCACAGGGCTCCTGGAAAGGCATGATTTGTACATGAAGAGATTACACAAGACTTCCATGACCCCAAAAGAAAAGAGAAGGGTCATCAAGCAGGCAAAGTATAAACAAGTGGAAAATTGTCCACAAGACGCAGAGCCCATCTCCTTCCCAGGATTAAGGTTTAACAGAAGACAGAGATCCAAAGAGCCTAGCATATATTATAAGGTTTTAGCCAGTAGTTCCCCCGCCCCACAGACAACAAATACTAAGCTAGATGCAGAGGTCAATAGTAAGTGGCTGTCAAAAGGGCCTAGAAATAGATAAAATTTGGGCATCTTATTTACAGTCTTTCATCCATCTCTTCACAAGGTCGTTAAGCTTCAATTAGTAAAATTCAAACAATTCAGAATCTCTTTAAATACAAACTCAACCTCCTTGGAAAAATTTCAATTCACACAGAATAATAACCAACAAATAGAACATTATTTTATAGTTCTGCTGTGAATAACAAAAGACAAATAAGCAACTCAGATTTATTGTTTTTATAACCAAATGGAAGTTCCATCGCCAAGTGTGAGTAGGATTCAGCTGAATCGTCACATCTGCAGGACTGGATAACAATCGCTGATGGTCATCAGGATGGAGATAGCCAAGTACAGTTCAAGCTCAGCTGCTCTCAAGGTATGTAATGTTTGGAAAATAATCTTTGTCATCCTTCATTTCTTCATTCAACAAAGGAGGATAATTCTCAGGGCACAGGATTTTAAAGATTAAATAAAACACATGAAAGTATTTTGCAGAGCCTATGTGCTGTGGTATAATAAAAAATATGGTGAAAATTAAGCAATTTTTTTTAATGTATGACGGTAAAACACGTACTGTCATTGATGTTCCTCAAAATACTCCCCATCTCTTTGAACTTACTTAATTGTTCTTGCCGATTCTAGAAGCAGTTCTGGAATCCTCTTTTGTGAAAGTCTGGTGGTACTGTCATGGCTGCCTCGATGTCCTGAGTCAATTAAAGGTTTTTGTGGTCATTTTGGTTTTAAGGAAGAGCTGGAAGTTGCATGGTGCAGAATCCAGTAGATAAAGTGGATGAGGACACACCAAAATGTTTTTACAATAGTGCTTTTCTACCAGATGGTATTTGGTAGCCCCATTCACTGTGTGTGTGTGTGTGTGTATGTGTGTGTGTCTCACACAATTTACTGAACAACAGGTAATATGAAATCAAACTGGACAGGTTATACAGTGATCCAAAGCTTATATCTTTAAGCAATCAACTTTAATTGCAACATTTACAACAGTTGAGAGTTTTTGCTATATTCAAGGGTTTTTTTTTCAAACAGAAATATTTATGAAAGAACAGACAATACAAACATATAAACAAATGATCCCACCTCGTTTATAGAACATATAAATGACCCTACCTTCTCATCCATACAATATACAAATGATCCCTCATTTATATAAATATAGAAGTGACCCACTTGAGAGGGACCATTTAGGCCTTGAAAGTCAATAAACCTTTCTGCTTTATTTAGCATAAAACCTACTGCTTAGACTTTACCAAAAAATTTCCTCCTTCTCATAATTTCCCTATTATGTAAGGTATATCTATTTCTAGATCCTGAAGTTTCTGCATTTTAATGCTTGACAACCCATTAAAAAATTATGAATGCTGCTTCTATTTCATGTTCTGATTAAAATCTCACACACATAACACAGAAAACAAAGCAAACAAAGCACACGTCATATGGATGATCCAAATGGAAAGGTCAATGAGCTGTAATAATATTTGTTTTGCAACATCAGAAGCAGCAAAGATCCTGAATATAATCTGCTTAAGTCATAAATACTGAAACTGAGATACACACGTGTAAGCCACATTTGGGTTCCATGAGCTGAAAGCTCTCCATCAATACATAAAAGTGTACATCAAGTGCAAAACGAGCAAGGTCACCTCGAGAACGCCAGTGGCTCAGTACCCCGACTCATGGGATTTCAGGTCGAGATAGCTGAGGATATTCTGGACCGGCTTCACAGCCTGCTTCCTGGCAGCCTGTTGTCTGAGAGCCGCTCGTAGAACAAGGTTCGGGAGCTCGGACTGGGAGGGTAAGGCACGGAATCACCAGGCAGACTCCGGGGAGGTTTCTGGAATGCTTCCATTTTATTCAGGAAATACACAGGCTTATAAAAGGACAATCATGGGGGAGGAGCGCTGTCTTATTGGAGGCCCAGGGGAGTGATTTTTCTTGGGCAAGGAGAGGAGTCATGGACTGGGGCGGAGGTGTAGCCTGTCGGACCCAGCATGTATGCACTTAGGCGAGTTAGCCTTAGCAAGGTCTCTGAGTTAGCTCAGGAGACAGGAGTATGGTGCACCTGGCCCAGCCGGGCTTGACTTTCTCCCACAGCAGCCTTACACTTCTCCTCCCGCTGCAGGTCCGCGCATACAGGGCCAGCAACTGCTTGGTGAGCAACTGCATGGTCAGCAGCTCCTTCAGCTGGATGTAGTTCTTATCAGAACGAGAGGACTTTTCCCCGGATCTCAGACAGGCTTCCAAGAACATCCCACACGGCCTTATGTGATGGGTGCCTCTCTCAGGTCACCTGCCTCCTTCTCTCCAGGGCCTCCTTCGGGTCGATGTGAGTGATCAGGGTTGGCACTTTGATCACAGCTCTTCTCCTAGCTTCCCAGATGCAAGGGTTTCTTTCAAGACTTAACTTCATCCAGCTGTGCAATCAAACCCTGCAGTTCTGTCTTGGAGCTCAGGTACAGTTTAGGAGGGTTCTGCACTTGAAGAAATTTGTTTTTTCTTTCATCCTCTTGAGGACCTTTTCTATTTTCAAAATGGAATGGTTCTGTCAAATGAGTGTGTAGTATTGGCTTCCTCTTCTAAATCCAAATACTTCAGTAATTTGTTGATATCTTCCACCACCTTCCTCCATTAATTTCTGATTTCTGTGTGTCCGCATATATCTAGAGCAAGCAGATCGGCAGTCAGCCCCAAAAGCAGGCGAGTTAAGTGTCTGCAAGTCTCACTACTGTCCACGCCCATCAGAAGCACCACAACCACACCTCTGGTCCCGTTCACTTCGCACATCACAGTGTTGATCTTGGCAACAGAAGGATGTGCATCTTCAGACAGTGGCAGGAAAGGCTGCTTTTTCAGGCAGTCTTTGACAATCTCTTGCACTGCATAGATTTTGGCTAGAGTGTGCTTTCCGTAAAGAGATCTTGCCTGCAGTTTTAACATGGGTCAGCCTCACAATGATATCCTGCATGCCTTCCTCAATTTTATCAGTTATGCAGCTGCTGCCACTGTGAAAGGGCACGGTCTTCTCTTTCACGAGGGCCTAGGGTTCCTTGAAGATGTTCCGTATTTCTATCCAGTGTGGGTGGTTTGCATTCTGCTCCAACTCTTTGAGAAAGTGTTCCTCTCCTGTGCCGCCCTCTTCCGTATCTACAGAGTCTATTTCAAAAAGTTGCTTTGTTAGAATCCTCTCCAGTTTGTTGCAATTCTTGTCACTTGACAGACCACTGAAGCTGATTACTTGCTGTTCTATACTTTTAACTTCCTTTTGGATTTCCTGAAGTCTAGTAATAGAAGGATGTTGGTTTCCCATATGTCCATACTTTTGTTGTGTTCCATTGCACAAGCACTTATTTTCAAGTTTTACAGAAAGCAAGATACTGTGTTTGGGGGTGGGGGCAGGAGGAGGAGGAATGGAAACAAGAAACCCAGGGAGATTTTGTGACTTCCTTTCTTTTTCATTTTTTTTCCTTTATGAGATATATAACAAAATTTTTAAGAAACCAAGATTTCTAATATATCAACTTGGCAGTTGCTTCTATTTTTAAAAAGTAATTTTCCTCTCTACATGCACAAATTATTTTAATACTTGAAGTTTTTGTTTTGTTTTGATTTTTAGTACTGGGAATTGTCAAACTCAGGTCCTTGTGCTTGCAAGGCAGGTGAGCTAAATCCCTGGCCTAATACTTGAAGTTTTATGTTCAGAATTATAGAAATTTTTCTGGAGCACAAAAATTGACTCGGGGAGGAAAGGGGAATTTTTTTTTTTTCCCTGACCATCACACCAAAGTGTGTGTGTTTTTTTTAATGAGCATTTTGGCACTCAGAGGGATAAATCACCATTTTAATGATTATGTATGTGGAATATATATTTTTAAGTAATGTTAACCCCTGTTGTACTTTGGTTTTAGAATTTTTAAAAATTCTTCGATAAAGTGAAGAAAATAAGGAAAAATTTCCACCTTCTGAAGCAGTAAATAATAACTTTTAATATTACATATTCTTAATTTTAAAAAACTAATAAACCTATTGGAGGTGCAACACAGGAGCATATGGGGGCTTCAGACCTCAGCCTCCTCCCAGGGCACACCACACGCACACACGCACGCACGCACGTATCGGGGAGAGAGGCTGGGGAAGCAGCAGAAAAACGTGTTCCTAGTATTCCGTCATCCCTCAGGCTCACCTTGCATGTTTGCTTTAAACCACAAATGGCACTGGGCATAATGGGAATCCCAGGACCCTGGGAGGCTGAGGGAGGATGATTGTGAGTTTGAGCCGAGCTTGGGCAATTTCTCAGTGACTTACTGAGACTTGGCTACAAAACATGATAACTAAGCTGGGAAGGTAGCTCAGGGCAAAGGCCCTGGGTTCATCCCCCAATACTGAAAATGAAATGAAAATAGATTTTTAAAAGAACCCTCCATAAATGACGACTGCACAGTTCTTAGGTATTCTAAGGAAAAACTGTTTCATAGGCTAAGAAAGATTCCAAAAAACTGCATTCAGTTCAAAAAGTCTTAATCGAAAATAATTTTTTCTGTTCCTAAAATACTACCAGATGTCTGGTATAGGTCTGGTGTATTTTATAAGAGATCTGAATTTGATCTGAGCTATGGGTGCTGAGTTCCCAGGTCCATGGTTTGCTATGCCTGGATGGCTAGGGAGCCAAAAGCACCAGATTCTGGTCCATTCACTGTATTTTTGATCACACCTTGTAAAGACAGTCATGAACGAGGACATCCAGAACTGACTCAGAAAGAGGCAGGAATGATCCAATATGTTTGAAGTGGGGGAAAGTATTTGCGGGGGGCTTATGGCAACATGTCTTTTGCTGTAATCATTTTAATGTAAATATTTACCATATATTTTGTCACTGCTTATACATGGAAGCCCGGCATTGTGGTTACACCTATTATCCTAGCACTCTGGAGGCTGAGTCAAAAGGATTTCCAAGTTCCAGCCCAGCTTGGACAACTTAGTGATGTAGCCACACCCGTGCACATATATATATATATATGGAATAATAGTAACAATCAATGCTGAATTCCTTTGGGATTCTAAGATGATGTGAATCAGCACCGGAAGTTATTTATATTTTGTCATAGTATATTTTTCTTACATATTAATTCCTGACTAATTAACACTCCACTTACCAAGATATTCCATTCTCATATCATTAAACAATTAACATATATTAGCAAGTAATTAATTTGGTTTAACAATTATATAGGCCCCAAAGTCAGAAACTTACAGAAAATAGAGAAGAAATTAAACACTGTTCATGGAGAGAGAGAGAGAGAGAGAGAGAGAGAGAGAGATCCACCTGTTTGTAAGGTAGGAAGACATTTCATACGTTCCTCTTCACCACATCCATGTCAACCAGGGAAGCATGTAACCATCAACTGTATCTTATTCTTTGAGGCTGTTGGAATTTTTTGTTTGCATTTCACCAACCAGCTGCCATAATGCTAGGAGAAAAACTCTAGAAAAACACCCCGGCTCTCAGAGGGAATACTGGTGAGCTGTCAAATACTCAGAAACACTGGCCTGTAGACAGAGTGTGAAGCACAAAGACTCTGCGTCCATTTATTCTGAGAATCTTGGTTTTAGTTGAGAGTAGAAAATCCGGGCAGGGAGGAATGTGGCAGAAACCGCTGGTATTGTAAGTATGGGCATGGGATTCTGTGTTTGCCAGCCAGCTCTGCAATTCGGTTGGAGCCTTGTGGCTGAAGTCCAGCCAACAGGATATGGGTGGAAATGCCAGAAGCCACTGCAGGCCTGACTTTGACTCAGCTCATGAAATCTACCAACTTTAACTTCCCCTTTTATGTTTCCAGATGTCACAATTTATAAAAAAAAAAAAAAAAATCTCACCCTGTGACTTTCTACAAGCAAGAAATTACCCTTTATTTATCATATGAAACTGTCAAGACTTCTGGTTCAGTTGCTATATCACAGCTGAGCTCATCCTGAATCCAGGTAGGTTAGAGAACATTTGATCTCATTAGAACAGGTGATCACAACTATCCACTTAAAGCAAGGAATTGGACTTAAACCTATGCTCAATTAATAAGTCACTAGAAAAATAAAAATGTTATAGCAAAAATGAAGAAGAAAGCCCCTTTCCTTGCTGAAATTATCTGTTCTATAGGTTGAAAGAACAGGCGATATTCTAAGCAGTCTGAAGTACAGAGTGAGCGAGTGAATTGGGCTGTACATGCCACCCCAAGTCCCATCTTTTTAAATACACAACACTGAGCCCAAGTAGTCATGTAAAATTCAAGTCTGAGCTCCAGCTCCTCCCTGCTTACAACCTGCGAAGCAGTGACTCTTCTTTGCTTCTCAGCTCTTTTCCTGCTTATGACACAGCCTTGCTTACTTTGTAAGACCAACTCTTACCACTTTTTTCTCCCTTCCTTCCAGCCACTGCATCCATACCCTTCGCTCTGCTTCCTTGAAAATGCTCTTCCATTTCCACGGACAAAAAGCGACCAAGAACTCAAATATGCTCTAAAATAAATAGTACCTGACACAGCACAGCAGTATCTGTCTGCATTTGAAAAACAAGTCGCATAGAGCCTTCTTGGGGAAAATGAATGGTGCTCAGAATTTTTTTAGAGAATATAAAAGGAATTGATGATGTTTTATGAACAGTTTTAAAAGTCACAGAGTCAGAAAATATCTAGAGTATAAGGTTGTAGAGACAGAATAATGAGCTTCTGCTGTGACCATAGGAATTCTCAGTAATGGCGGAAGCAGTATTTCTCATCCAAGGTGCACTTGCTACAACCCTCATCAAGAGACAGACTCTACTTCCCCTGCAAATGGGGCAGGGATTTGTAGCTGCCCCAAAGAACAGAATGGGGTGGAAATGACACTGCGTCACATCCGAGGACACGTTATAAAGGGCAACACATCTTCTTCCCCACTGTCTCCCCCAAAGCATTTATCCTTGGAATTCAGCCACTGTGGGGAGTAGCCCAGGCTGCATGGAGACCGCTCAGGTAGGTGTCCTAGACAACAGCTCAGCTAAGGTTTCAGCTAGTGGCCAGCATCAACTCCGAGACACGTGGAGGCACACAGCTTCAGATGTTTACGGCCTGCGCCTGCAAACTGCCCAACTCATGCAGAGTAGAGCTGAGAGGAGCTCTCAGACTAGATGTGCACACATTCAGACTGGTAAACAAAGTGAATGTATCATTATTTTAAGCAACTAAGTTTAGGGATCGTCTTAGTTACTTTTCTCCTTGTTGATGCAAATTTTTAATTGTCACGTACCTTTTTTTATTTCTTTCAAAAACCCTTACCGTAATCTGTGTCTAGGTTACTTTTCTTATATTGCTGAGACAAAATATCCAACACCCAAAGTTAAAAGAGGAAAGGTTCATTTAGTTCAGTTTATAGAGGTTTCAGTCCATGATGGCTGGTTGCAAGGCAGGGTGGCACATGGCAGAGGGGCGTCACAGAGGAGAAACAGTTCATGGTGGGCAGAAGGTAGCAAAGCAAGCAAGGGACCTTAGCAGCTTTTTTCTTCCTATTTTGTATTGTATCTAGGCTACTGAGATTAGCCAAAGCAATCAGTAGACTGGTTTTGAATCACCTACCCTTAGTCCTAGCATCATATGCCCTAGATCCAGCCACCTCTGAAGAGGCCCCACCTATGACCAAATGAGGTTTTGGGAGACATCTAGCTATAAACAAGGATGCTTTGTTATATAACAAGACACAGTAACTGGAAAAATTCTGTATAAATATCTTATGAGTAATACATGAGAACAAATATATAATAAATAAAAATATATATATATATAATTCCTAATACAGGTCTGAAATATAGTAGCTCCTCAATAAATGGTAGTTACCTATAATGCATCAGTAACTAGAAATTGCCCCCAATAGTATATTATTAATTTCTATTTTTATTCTAGGGAAGAGCATACTGAAGGATAAGGTACAGTAATCCCCACCTTTAATAAATAAGACAAAAAACTCATGAATTAACAAGAAAATAGTCTCAGCAGCAAATTGGCATTTTACAAATGTAGAAATACAAATGGTCAAATGTAAGAGAAAAGATGTCTAACCTTGCTGAATGTCAAAGATGTAAAAGAACTACTATTATTTGTACTTTGGTAAAGAAAGATGAATAATTCCTAATATTGGCAAAGGCTTACTTTGCAGCACTGCAAGGGAGTGGAATACAGTTTGGCTGAATGTATTTTATAATGCCCCCATTTACAACTATTCCAAAGAAAATTAAATACATATAAATTTAAAACGTGTGCAGATCTCTGTACTAAAAATTACAAAATGCTGATGAAAGGAACCAAAGACACAAATAAGTAGAGAAAGTGATATTTACGGGTTTTTTTAGTTTTAGTGTTTGGGTTGGTTTTTTGTTTTTTTTGTATCAGGGATCAAACTCAGGTCCTTGTGCTTGCAAGGCAGGTGGTGGCACCACTGAGCTAAATCCCTGGCCCCAGAAAATTATATGTATGGATTGAAAGACTCAGTATAGTAAAGATAGCAATTCTCACCCAAATGATATGCAGGTTTAATATAATTCCTATAAATAATTCCTCATCTTCCTTCCCTAGGCCCCTAATAACTACTATTTTTTGTGTTTTTGAAATTGATTATTTTATTCTAAGTACCTCATTGAGTGCCTTATTTATGCCTGGCATAATGTCTTCAGGGTTCATCCACATTGTAGCATGTCCTAGAATTCTCTTCCTCTTTAAGGTTAAAAATAGCCATTGTATGTATAGGCCACATTTGATTTAGCTTTTCACCTGTCATCTTTTGATGGACTTTGGACTTGCCTCTAAGTTTGTTAATAATGCTGCTGTGAACATAACAGTATATCTTAACTCATAGTGGGCCGTAGACAAGTATAAAATGCAGACTTTTTGTTCTGCAGCATTGGAGATTGAAACCAGTGCCTTTCGTGTACTAGGCAAATACTCTGTCACTGAGCTCCTTCCCAGCCATAAACTATAAAACTTTTAGAAAAATATATCAGAGAAAATCAAGACACAAAACTAGATGAAAAGCTCTTAAGTTTGATACCCAAAGTGTGAATCATAAAACCTGATTTCAAATGGCTTTTGTGTGCCAAAGGCCTTGCTAAGGATTAAGAATTGCAGACTAGGAAAAAAATATTTGCAAGCCATATATCTGTCAAATGAAAAGATGTTATAATAATATATAACTTTTATGGGACAGTATATTCTAGATAAGTTATATATAACTTATCTAATCCTCATACTTCTCTTGTCAAATATGAGGTATTAGAATTATTTTTATTTTATTAATGAGAAACTGAGGCACTTAAAGTTACACTGCAGAGCTGAGTGTAGTCCCAAGTCTCCTCTGCCTTCTTCACGTCTCACTAAGGCACAGGGCTGCTCCTGCCAGCACTGTTTATGGTGGTGAGTGATTGGAAATCATCGAAATGTCCATCGGTGGGGACCAGTTGTGTTAGTCATTAAAGAACTAGGAAAGACAATAGCATAAATCCATTCAAATGATGATGTACTGATTAGGAAAGATATGATACAAATACTTTTTAAAAAGTAAATGACAGGGCCAGGGATTTAGTTCAGTGGTTCTGGCGCCTGCCTTGCAAGTGCAAGGTATTGAGTTCGATCCCCAGTACAAAAAAAAAAAAAGTAAATATCAAAAGAGTACATATATGGCTCCTTTTTATTTTATTTTTATGATTATTTTTTGGTACCTGGGATCGAACTCAGGTCCTTATGCTTGCAAGGCAGTTGACAGAACCACTGAGCTAAATCCCAGGCCCCATGGCTCCTTTTTTATAAAACATCATACATACAACTATTATCTATTTTATGGCCCGTGAGATGTCTGAGAAGATCACCAACATGTAACCTCACCATCCATTTGCATGTTTGGAGTTCTGGTGATTTTTACTTTTACGATACAGAGGTATCGTCCCATTGTGTGTGTGAGTGTGTGTGTGTTTCTGGAGATTGAACCTACAGCCTTTGTACTGAACTACATCCCAGCCCTACATATATATGTATGCATGTTTATTTTGAGACGGGGTCCTGCTAAGTAGCTAAGTTGCTCTGCTCAAACTTGAGATCCTTCTGTCTCAGCCACCAAGAGTGCTGGAATACAAGCAGGCACCACCACTCCTGACTTGGTTGAATTTTTTAAGCAAACACTTTTGTAAAAAGAAATGAAGCTAGATTTTTTTGATCTGTTCAAGACAGCTAAAACAACTCACACAATAAAAAATAAAGATATTACAGAAAAAAAATTTTTTTTGGTACCGGGGATCGAACTCAGGACCTTGTACTTGTGAGGGACCACAGAGAGCTAAATCCCTGGCTCAAATTTCTCATAAATTTGAATATTTTGTAACATCAAGATTCTTGCTGAAGTGTATTTCTTTTATTAAGCGATGAAAATTTACAAGCATTTGCAAATCAGTGCTCTAAATTTGAAAATACTTGGGCTGCTTTATTCAGGCTTTTAACTACCCCTAAAGAACATGTACTTGGAGCAGGAATTCAGGGTCTCAGCCTCATGTGAGAATGACCTGCTATGACTGGAACAGGATGGGTGCACAACCAGAGGTAGAAGAGGGGAGAGAAGGAGCCCTAGCAACCCCAAGAAGCAGTTCTAAGAGAGCTGCTTCTGAGCAAGAGTTTTCTGGAGCAAGGCCTTAAGAATTAGGTAAGTGGAGCTGGGCATGGAGGGACTAAATAGGGTTTCTTAATTAGATACTGTTGATCTTTGGAGCCAAATGCTTCTTCATTGTGGCACTGACCTCTGCTTTGCAGGGTGTTTAACAGCATCGCTGGCCTCGACATACTAAATGTCAGTATTCTTCCTTAGGTATGACAATACGAAATAGCTCCAGACATTACTAAATGTCCACTGTAGGACAAAAATTTTTCCCCACTGGGTTAGGAGGGAAGGGAGGAGCCCCCGAAAGGGAAGCCGCATTGCAAAGACATCAGACCATATCCAAGTAAGGGCCTAGGATTTGGGTGCAGCGAGAGTGGGTATAGAAAAGGCAAGAAACAGGTGAGTTTATGAGGTAAGCAAGCTCATATTTATATCATAAATGGCCATTGTAAACTTATTTTTAACCACTGGTTATAAATATACAACTTCGTTCTATTGTTTGCAAAACATTCACTGAAAGAAAAGCAATTAACAAATGTAATAACAAGTAACAAATTGAAAATCGGCAAAAATTAAGTACAGAACTTTGTGAACAGAGCTACTGACTAATTATTATGAATGCAGCAGCTTAAGATGATGGAAATCTGCTCCCTTTCTGTCCTAGGGGCCATGAGTCTAAACGGAGTCTCACAGAGCTAAAAGCTGGGTGTCAGCAGGGCTGCTTCCTCTGGTGGCCGTGGTGGAACATCCGCTCCCTACCTCTGCCAGCTTGCGGGGGTGGCTGGTATGCCCTGGCTCACAGCTGTACCCTTTCATCTCTGTCCATCTTCACAGTGTCTTTTCCCTTCCATGATCCCTCTGACTCTTC